CATCTCTCTCCTGCTGTACTTGCTTCTTGTCACTCTAGGAATTGACTCTTTCTACCCTCAAAAACAGAGAGGGATGCAAATTCTACCTCTCTTTCACACCACATAGGGTATGAAAAGTGTAAGTTCTGTCTTTCTTAAAAACATCCTCCCTCTGGCTTCAAAATCACTGTGAGCAGATCAGTATTTCAGGGACCCCACATTCTGTTTTGCTGCTGGAAACCAGGTGCATGATCAGGTATCAGCCAGAGTATTTCCTCTTCTGTAGAAACTCTGCTGGTTTCTCCTTATTTCCTGTAGCATCCCAACAGGGTCTGACCCATTCTCCTCAGTGCTGGTTCCTGTTCCAGCCATCCTTTCCCTTCCGAAGGCAGACAAGAACAAAGAAATCTTTCACCTTTTGCCTTCTTCCTTCCCCCCAAGTCTGAGACCTCTTCCTTTGCCCCAGCTTCTTCAGTCACAAATCATCAAGAAGCAATTCTCCTTCATAATGCACACCAGCTTAGATCTTTTTACCTCCAGCTAAGGCCTGCAAGATCTGGAGGTATCTGTAGAAGAAGTAAATAGCCAGATGCAATTGCAGGAAGATCACCAAAAGCAAAAATGCCAGACTGCTGCAAAAAATAGTAAGCTCACTGTACAACATCCGGAGGTATCTGTAGAAGAAGTAAATAGCCAGATGCAATTGCAGGAAGATCACCAAAAGCAAAAATGCCAGACTGCTGCAAAAAATAGTAAGCTCACTGTACAACATCCAGTTGTCCAACTGCTGTCTCAGGGTCCCATAGGAGAGGAGGATACTCACATCCATGAGAGCCAATTCTTTAAATACTGGTTGCAATCTGTGACAGATAAAAGGCATGCATGACTTTTTTTTTTTTTTTTTAATTTCAAACCCATGAATTGTTATAAATTTAAGATACTAGAGCATGATTTGGGGAGAAAGGAATATATTTCAGAGCAAATTTTGCAAGCATGAAGTGTATGCACTTTGGTTATATTTAGTAAAGCGATTATGGTTTTGTTCTACTTTGTGTTGGAATGCCATCAGTTGATCCTGCCTCTTTTCATTCCACTCAGATTAGTTCATTTTTAAATTAATGAGGACTTCACAGAAGTAAATCACATGTCATTTAATAAGATTTCAGATGAAGTAGCAAAGAGCCACAAAGCATGCTGAAGTCTACTTGAAAGCCCCAGAGCTTTGCCCAATCCTTAGTCACAATTATTTCCTCTTTCACTGCCAAAGGAAACTGCAGTGTCCATTGCACCCAAGCACGAAGACAAAGCTTGTTAACCCTTGTTAAGATACTGATGTTTGTTGCTGCCATATTCACTCCAGAATTTTTGCTAAAGCTTAGTCTTCTTGAGCCTGATACCAATATGCCTACATACTTTGCATCTTACAATTAATTAGGTTCTTGTTAAGTCTAGCTTTAGGAGGACATCCTCTCCCTTTCTTTCCTTGTCAGAAGGGCCAAGAGTGTCAAAATTTCACTAGAAACATCAGGTTAATTCATCATATGAGCTGCATACTATAGAAAAGCCTGCCCTCTTTTCCCTTTGTACAGCCTTTGAAGGTTAGTGCAAGTTTCATCAAAGTAGCACCACTTAAATCTATTATTTCAGCATGTACCATCTGAGGAACATAATGTAATCCATAATGATTTCCTCACTTGAGCGCATTCATAGCTAAAGGCCTACATACAATTTGTAGATCACTGTAGAACTTTTATGCCCAACACTTGCCCACACATCAACCAATGAAAAACTGAAGCTACTCAGCCTAAAGCATCTGTTGGTGTGTTCATTCTACATCCATGCTGACCCTGCCAGCTCTCATTTAAGATGCTCCCTCTCTGCTAGAAGTGGTTAGATTCCACTGCTTAGAAAACTATTTTATTTTTCTACTCTGTCCCAGTGCTCTGTGTTCCTGCCATGGTCTGCAGAGTTTGCAGTTGCTGGCAGAAAGGTATCTGCCATGATGCATGTAGATTTTTGTTGCTGATGAGGTCAGCTCGAACACTATGGTAACCTTGTGCTTGTGACAGGGGAATGAATTCAGCTAGAAAATCTGCTTCTTTTAGGACAGAATCCTACTCTGCAGAACATTACAGGAGGCAGAAATACTCAGTTTCAGATGGGCAGGATTTGGGAAGAAGGAGTGGAAAAACCGTTTGAAAGACAAAACATTGCATGATACCTTTTGTTGTAACAAGTAAAAAAGCGATTCATTTTGCATGCTATTATTTCTAACTAAATGGACTGCCTGTCCACTTTCCTCTCAGTTTATCACAAAGCAACACTACAGCAGTTTGAATGGAATATATGACTGAGGGTACCTACCTATGCATTGTTCAGTCTGTGTCTGTTGGAAGACTGTTGGATTTCTTGCATGTACCTGCATTAGAAAAAAATCCTTTTTCAAAGGAAATTACGAAACCTAAGTTCTTGTAGTGCATAGTCCTTCATCAGTACAGGCACATTTCTTTAAGCAGAGAAACACGAAATGATGGCTTGGTGGCAAAGAAGAGCAAAGGTACAACCTGGGAATCAAACACATGATCTAGGAATCAAAACCATGTTATTTTGGCTTGCACACCTACAGCAGATGAAAGACAGCTTGGAAAGATCCTTGTTCCTGCAAATGTGTCTCACTGAATGATGTGGCAGGGACAAAGGCACAGCATCAGAAGCGAATCTAAACCATCTGTTAAATGTCAACATGTACAAAACATGTTACTGCATCAGCTTCAGATTCAGGCATTAAGATTCACATTCTGGCTGCAATACTAAATAAAGAGTAGAAAAATCTCAAGCTAACAGAACAGAAATATTAGCCTTAATAAAAATGGTATGCAATTAATTACCCGGTTCAGAGAAAAGCCAGAATCGGGTTTAGCAGACAGTTACCGTGTGCCAAGACTCGTACTAAACAGTCAGGGCTTTTGCAGAAACATTTCAAAAGCCCTATGGAGGACCCAGAGCTGGAACAGCTGATCAGGATTGAGATACCTAGCAAAGAAAAATAAACTTCTTGTTGCACTGGGCAAAATTCTCAAATCCTCAGAGCAAGGTAATGCCACTGCTATTCTAAATATCTGCTTGAAATTACTTGAAGCACAAACCCAAGAACTCAAGGCCTAAAGACAATCACTTTTACAACAGTTTTATTCAAGTCTGTGTGCTCTAGTGTTGAGACAAGGCCTAGATCAGCATTACACTGTAATACAATAATTTTAGCCATTGAACCAAGCCTGCTTGGCATCCTTGGTTTACAATTTACAGTACATCCAAAAAAAGAGCAAAGAGAAAAGAAAACCCAAAACGCCAACAACTTTCAATAGCTCTTTGCTTCGCTTAAATATTGTTCTATAACATAAAATAATTTAATACAAAATGAACTGTAATCCAAATACACATAATACATTGACACGGAACAGAGGAAGGATACAGTAGATTATGCACAAGAGTATTCAGTTGATGTGTTACTTACAGTGAAACAAACCGGACATTAATATAATTTAACTATTTAAGCCCAAGAGGGTCAGAGGCAACAAGTCCAGGTCACAAATAAAGCTTTTTAAAAAATAATGCAATCCTCTTTTCCTCTAAGCTTACTGCTGTACAGAAGTTAAAGGAAGGCTCCAACAAATCACTTAATTTGACAACATTTCATCACACAAACAAGAAAAACTTGGTGGCCTCTGTTATTTTACTCAACTCTGGGGTACATTGCCATTTGCTAATGCAACTGCTTCACTGCAGGTTCTTCAGGCAAAACATACCTTCAGGTGCTACTTCCATAGCAACAAACTTTTGAACACCATGAACAGAACAGAAGACAGAGAGAGGTCTCCAAAACCAGACTGAAATACCAGAGTTGTAAGATGAATCTCAGTCCTACAGAGTTTGGAGTTCTTTATGAAGTACCCAACACTCTACACAGTGATTTCAGCACAAGTAGGAACTACCTCATATCTCAAAGGATCAGACGTGGGGCATGATCTTATACTAAAGTAATCTACTCACCTGGTTCTTCAGATTTAAAACATTGTACCTAGCAAAGTCAGGTCACTGCTTTTTGCATCTGGCTTTAAATAGGAGCAGGAGAAGATCCACAAATAATAAGGCAAAAGAAAAAAGTAGCTTATAAAAAGAGGAGGAAATACATTCTCTGGCTGAGAAATTCTTGAATTTTCAAAGCCACAGAAAAGACATAGTTAAAAGCACAGGTATTTTCCCTGATTTTTCCACCACTGTTGCCTGCCACTCCATTTAAGCCTCTAAACTTGAGTGAGGCAAAATATCTCAGATATTTCCAGCTTGTCGTGAATTTACAAGAAAGGATTCACGTACAGCAGCACAAAGTGCTGTGCCAACAGCTGCCAGACAAGAATCCTAGAACTCTAGTGAAGTGGTGGATGTTGATCACTGCTGAACTTGTCAGGTCTGTCCACCAGCATGGAGGGATGCATTTTGAAAATGAGAAGAAACACTAGAGAAAAGGCCCCAGGTTAAACTGCCATTTGCACACACAACCTCCAGTCACCACTTAACTGCCCCTTTACAGACAGCAATCTGCTAATGCAGAAGTTGTTGCTCTTTCATCTCATGTCAGAAAACATTCTGAGTGCTTACCCTGCTTATGGTAAGAATTAGCAGTCAAATAGGCATGGCATGTACAGTCATGGAAAGGCCACAAGAGTCAGCAGTCAAACCAGCATTTACCCAGAGGATTGTTGAGGAACTTTTTTCGCAGATTAACTGACTCTTTTCTCTGGCAATCAAAGTAAAGAGCCTGGTCCTTCACCATTGGTCTCTAGAGGACAATCCTCCAACTTAAAAGCTTTGCTGAACTGAGGTCTTGAGCATTTTGACCCACAGACACATTCCACTGACTTCAGTGATGTTTAAGTATGTGACAAAGAGTTTTCTGAATTGAGGCCTCTTCCCTTTTAACTTGAAAAGTAATTACCCTAAATATGAACTCTTCCTACTACAAGCAGCCTAATGTGAGTATCTGGGCGGCCGACAGTAACAACTCAGTTTGAGACACTGACTAGGCCTGGGAGCAAAGACATTGCCCAAGTTGAGAAGTGGCCACATTTGCAAATTCCAGAAAAACCTCAAGAAGCTCAGTGTGCAACAGAGCTATGCCACACAGCAATCAGAGGCTATGTTTGTTCTGAAACTTAACTGCTGTTAGCAGCATTCTTATCTACGAAGCTTGGAAAAACACCAGCATGTCTTCCTGCTCCATTATAATCTCTCCTGCTAAGACCATGAGACACAAAAGCATCAGCACACGCCTAGAACAATGTTTCTTTTTTTCAGACAAATATGTCTCTCCAAGACAAGGAGGTTAGTTTTATCCAACCTCAACATCTGTTCTTGAGAAAATGCTGAATTGAAACAATCAAGATAGAACAGGGAGACAGTATCAATCACTCTGAAATAGCATATTTAAAATGCATTATTCTAGTCTTATGTTCCAGCCAAAAACTTTTGAACACAATGTAGTTTCTCAATAGCTATCCTGGCAGCTAAAATTTAGAGCATGGACAAGATCCTAGAAAAGTATTTCTGAATAATGAAGGCCCTTTTTCCCCGCCATGATTACTTTTCAAATTGCTTATTTTAAGCAAATAAAACTTTGGCATTCCTCCTGCAGATTTATTCTAAGCCCTCTTTTGCTAGCTGTGCATCCATCTGACCCACCAGCTACAGACCTAAGAGTAGCTCACTTCAAGCTGAGCTTATAAATCCACTACACTGCACACTAAAAATGTGTCATAGTTTCTTAATATTAGCTATATTGGCTGCACATTATTAGCATTCAGATACAGTAAGGGCTGTTATTAGGAGCTGATACATTAGGAAAACAGGACTGCAAATACAGGAAAACAATCAGGATCATGTGTACGTTCATTTTAAGAGCACATGAGATAATTAAAAAAAATCTGTTTTGAAAAAAACAGACTGTTGCTCTTAAAAACAGTAGTGACCAATATGAAATCACCACCTTTTGGTCTGTGGACAGTTAACTCTTCCACAGATCAGAAATCATCATGAAAAAATGCCCTGCCTTGTCCTTTATTGTTTATTTTGGAGACACCAATCTATAAAGGAAGTATAATCTTAATAAACCAAATGGTCAGTTTTATTTTTCCATCAGGAATTTGCACATCAAAGAGCCAAACACAGAGTTTGCCTCTGCTCTCCCATCTCATTCCAGCCTCAATTGCTTACTTAGAGCAATTCTTAAAATGTGAACTTTCTTCCCATTCTATCTCTATAAATGAGGTAGTTCAGGGTAAAATACAACAAACCAACCAGAAACTGGAGGAGTTGGATGGGACTTTGAGCAACTGGTCTAGTTGAAGATGTCCCTGGCCATAGCAGAGGGACTGGAACTAGACGATCTCTAAGGTCCTTTCCAACCCAAACCATTCTATGAAACTAGGTAACTACACATTAAGTGACTACACATTCCTCAAATTCTTCTTTGGGACCCAACTGACCAATTATGCCAACAGATTACCAAGCAGCTAATCTCTCTCTGTTCTCTGACTTGCATTAAGAAGGATAACTTCATTCTTATTTGCTATTTCCTGCCAACCTCCACTTTCACTTCACCCAGTTGTATCTGATGCTTCTACCTTGGAAACCTTTTGGGTCAAAGCACACCTAAAATATATACTGCTTTCTGTCTTAGGCTTGTTACTTTGGTAACAAGAATAAATAACCAATAAAGATGGGGCAGGGGCAAAATTCTAACAGAGATACTGAGAGCCAGTGATAACGCATCTCTTCACACAGGGGTGTGGGCACATCTCTAACTGGGAGGACATGAACACTGTTCTGATATTTGGCCTGGTGTGTGATGAAGAACAGTACTGAAAGCTACAACCAGGAGTTTCCTCCAAAAAACTCAGCTCCTAGCAAGGAAACATGTGAGATGGAAGGCACCTAGGAATACAGGATGCACCTCAGACACATATATATTTCATAGGCTTAAAATACAAACCAAAAATAATCAACATCCCCAAACAAACAGAAAGCGAACAAAAACACAGAGTCCAAGTAGCCATTCTTAGTAGGAAAATTATGTTCCTGGTCAGAAAAAGTAAGAGGTTTTTCACACATGTACAGAAGGAGATAAAATGTATTTCTTGTGTACAAACACTGATGAAGTGCTGGAGACTTTCCAGTAGCAAAAAGAGAGATCCTTGTTAGAGAGGAATAATAATAATTTTGGTAGCTACATCAGATCCACCATCCAGTTACAAGTGACAAACTACTTTTTAATCAAGCACACATACCTCGTTAGCCTGGCAGTCACTACTTTCAACATACAAAAATAAAGTTGATATAGGTAATTTCAGAAGTTGTGTCCATCTCCGACCAATAGAAGAGTGGCTGAAAAAAAACTCAGCATGGGAAAAACTAAAAGCAAATGCACATCTTAACTGCAGCATATGACTTTCTACTAGTGTGTTCAATAGAGGGAGCAGCAGAATAAGCCATGAATTCATTTCCATACTGCCTTGTGAAATCACGAAAGTAAGGCTAAGGAAACAATAAAACATAAGTTCTTCTTAAGAAGACTGTGTTGTTTGTTTAAAAACAACAAAAAAAATTAAACCACAAACTTGATTGAAAATAGAGGAAAAAATCAGAGAGACAAATTTGATTAAAGATCCTTTCTGTCCAGCTAGCTACTATACTGTGAAAACCACCATATTCTAATCTTAATCATAGTATAATCTTAAAATAGTAAACGTAACAGAAAAACATAGGAAGGCATTCTTTCCTAAAGATACCCTAATTACATAATCAAACAAAGGTTTATGAAGTCTGAAAGTTATGCTCTGTGACAGCATGAGTATATTTTGGTTCCCATATTTGGTGTTCTTATTGCTTGTTCGCAAATATGTTTTAAAACACATCTATCCCCTCACTCTTACTGTCCAGTTTGACCCAAATTGTAGTCTTAAGTGAGTAAAAAGCACAGAAGCTAAGAAAATGATCTGCAGTGACAGGATAAGGATCAGAAATCTTAGTTTCCAAATATAGATGTTCTTGTTTCATACCAAAAAAAGCCAAGCCAAAAGGAGGGCCTAAATCACTGTGAAAGATACAAACCTCCTTATTCATCACTGAATTGGTAAGAGTTCTTGAGAACATTTCCAAAATGATGGAAAAGGTTAGAAAGCAATAAGCACTTTTTCCAAGAAGAAAGATTTAAAAAAAAAATCCAAAATAAACAAGCCCATTATAATTGGCTTAAAATTACTTACCAAAGTAACAGGCTGTCACTGAATTTTGGGATACAGTATTAGGTTTAGTTCCATACATCTAAAGGGACTCCAGCTCCCACATTAATCCCACAGAGATTAATTAAATTCCAAATAAAAGTTAAGCTCAAGCTAGAAAGGTGACTCAAGATGAGAGGTTTCCTGTCATGTTCTATTTAACAGAACACTCCAGATGGCAAAGACCTTTCTTTACTCGACCATTACTGCCTCACCTTCCACAGAATGAGAGGTATCCAGTTTCGTGACATATCGAAGCAACATCTCTGTGCAGTATTGTCCACAAAGTCTTAAGATAACAGCATGCTATGAAGAGGAAGGCAACTACTCCCATTCCTAGAGGTACAGAAAAATACTTCATCATAAAAACATGTCAAGCCAGAACAGGTCTTTCTACATCAACAACGAAATATTCACTTTAAAAATACTCATTTTGTTAGAAAAACATTACAAAAAGAGTATTTTCACTGAGGTTTCCTGACTCATAATGAATATCAATCCACTGCAATACTAATCTGGACAGAAATACCTACAAAAGGTTACATTTGCACCTCTGAAAAGGACTGAAAGGAGATCAAGACCTGCTTGCTGGTAAAACAGAGCATTGTGCAGTCCGTAAGAAGCAACGGTATCAGAAAAGTCCAGAACTATTTAATCGCCTTAGTTTTGACACAAAAGTTTTCTTCTTTCTACTTGTCCCACACTCAATTTCTGTGAAATCAGTAAAAGTTGATTAAAAAAAATTGCAATTTTTTTGCACTGGTTGCTATGTCTGTGCTTTCCCCCCAGTTTTACAGGAAAACCAAACAGGCTACAAGAACAGCATATTTTGAAGGGCCAACAAACTTTTTTGTATTTCCTAAATCAGCATATCAATTACATAGTGATCCATACTGGCAGCTGACTAAACAAAAGCACAAGCATATTTCTAGACCACAAACATTTCTCTCAGCTACAATCTCACTACTACTGTCAGTTAAAAAACTGCCCTTTCCTCCTGTAATTAGATACACTTGACTCCATTCTCTTGTCATTACGTTTAGACTGCTCAGTGATTTTGTCCTCTCATGTTATCTTTTTCTCATTTTCTCAGAAAAAAAGTGCAACTTATTCAGATACCTAGGAAGCAATGCATTTATTAGAATTTTTTTAAATAACATTTTCACTATTTCCCTCAAGAATACTACTAGAAAAGTATATCAATGAACAATCTCCCTGAAAAATGGGAATAATAGTGGCCAATAGGAAAAAAAGATTTGTAAGCTGATGGGCTCACATCTTCTCACTATCTAGTGGACTACAGTGGAGCATTCCTTTGGAGATGTGGAACACCAACAGACTAAGAAAGCAGCAAATTCAAGCCAGAATGGGACACATGGATATAGGGAGAGGTTTGGGGATTCATGAGGTAAAACAGCTCTTTGCCTTGAGAGCCCCCTCTGCCTGTCAGAGAATACCCCACCACCTACTAAAGTCATTAGTCTTGGTTCCACAACAGTCTTCTCTTGCCTGATACCTCAGGTTAGTCACCGGAGGACAGCTATGGGTTGATGCTCAAAGACTACCTCGGGTTAATTCATGTTCTAGATTCAATGAAGATAATTGCATCAAGTAAGGGTTTAAAAAAAACCCAAAAAACAAACAAACACACCCCTAACACATTATGCTTCTACCTAATCTTTCTAGCAGCTTTGTAATAACAGTATCTAGTTTGAAAACCCTGACTTGACTCCTTGTCACCTGTCCTACCCAGTTATTTGATGGAGCAATGTCCATTTGGTATTAGTGAAGATGCTCTTTGGAGCAAAATACTTCTTACTGGTCAGCTACATACCACTTTCACCAAGTGATTATCTAAAAGAGAGAGAGTGGCAAGGAGGGTTTGATATGTCATCCTCAACTATCTTAAGCAAAAGAGAATCATAGAATCATAGAATCATAGAATCATAGAATAGATTGGGTTGGAAAAGACCTCCAAGATCATCAAGTCCAACCCCTGATCCAACTCCAATTACTATAGCATGGCACTAAGGGCCACATCCAATCTCTGCTTAAAAACCTCCAGGGATGGTGAATCCACCACCTCTCTGGGTAGGCTGTTCCAATGCTTCTTCCAGCTGCCTTGACTGATGGGAACTTGACAGAAACATTAGAGGTTACTTGGTGAACTTACTGGTCAACTATCAGAAACTTTAGCAGGTTGAGCTAAAACAATGTGACCTAAACAGGTAGTCTCCCATTTCGTGCAAGTAAATGGATTTTAAAGATTTCTGTTCAAATGGGGCTATTCCAGGTGACACCTTTGCAGAGCACATGATATTCCCTATGACACTTATAACAATACTTTTTGGATAGAAAACATTACATTTAAGAACAGCTGATCCTGTTTTGTTTCAGTCTTTTTAAAATGGTAAGGCAGACTTTGAATAACAGACTGTTTTAATCCCTTTCTTTTTAGTCCCTCTGACACAGCCTCTCACCTCCTTCAGCTTGATTTATAGCACAATTAAAATCAATCATCTTTTGGATGGGTTTTGCCTTTTTGTTAGTCTCAGGATCACAGATTAATTTTTCAGAAATGGAAAACAAAACTATGAATGCTTAAGAAATCAACAATGCTAAGTTCTGCATTTAACAAAACAGTCAGAAATGTAAGTCCCACATCACAACACCTTGTCTACACAGTCTATCCAGCTTCAGCACCTAGTATAGCACAATTAAAGCTAGCTCTGGAGCATTTAATGGGGAGGGTGGCAGAAAGTAATTCTGCCACTAAAAATTTTTTTCATGGAATGTGATAAATAAGAAATATGTGACCTTGCTACACAAAAACTTACTGTAATTGCTTGGAAAAAAGGTGCACTTGACTAATGGCAACATGCTAGTTTCAGTCCTCAAACAGAACTAAAAAACCTTATGTACAGTTCCTCCTCACATGCTGGTTTTTTAAGTCCAATTACAAACACGTAAACACACAGGTTCTCTGTGCTGACAGCTGCAGGAAGTATTTGGCTACACTGCTTTGACACCAGGACTGGACTGCCCCGACAGGCTGAGCACTGCATTGGCGGCACTGTCAAATGAGATATTTGCAACCAAATGGTCAGTAGATTAGCAAAATGAGCACAGACCTGTACAAAAAGAGTGAACAGATATGCTTAACCTGCAACAAAGCAGACTACCCTATTACACTCATTTAAAGGCTACATCTCTTATTTATAATGCTGAACCTGGGGAAGCATGACGCTCTCCTTACAGCCACTAAGTTATACCTGTAGTGGCACAGACACACTTGGAAGTCTCTGTATAGAAAACTGTGAGCATAGGCACAACCTATTTATGTGACTTCCTCCTTCAAGACAGGGGTCTGTTCTTGTTCCTGATTTACTTTTTTACATATTTGAACAAGAATGAAGAATTTACATGTCTATAGGGCCTTTCACTCAAAGATCTCAAAGGACTATTACATGTGTCCCAGCCCCTCCCCTTGTGAGGTAGGTATTATTCCTATTATTTACAGATGGGGAAATTCAGGCACAGAGGTTACATTATTTGCCCAGGGTCACACAGTGAATCAGTGACAAAATAAAACAGAATCCAGATGTTCCAATTCCTGTTCGCACAATCCAACTACTGACAAGCCTCATTTTCAAAATAGCCTTAAACAAGTACCAGTGTGCATAAGAACAGTCTCGGGTTTCATGGGTCACTCCTAAAAAGTGTAAGAAAGGAGAAAAAACAGGAAGATAAATTTGGGAACATGTCATTTACTTCTGCAAGTCAACACAGCTTTAAAGAAATAACTCCCTTCCCAAAACTGAGGCAATTTCACTACAGCCTGAGAAACAGGCAGTAGGAAAAAAGGGACAGATGGAATCAAAGTTTGAAACAAAAAAGCAAGATAAACAGCCATACCATAAGACTTCATCTTCTTGAAAGCACCAGGTCATAGAAAAACAGGGTTGAGAGGGACCTCAAGATACCACTGAAGTTCATTCAACCTACCTTGAAGCCAAGATCAACTACACCTACTTGTTTCATCTGGTTCACCTGCTCTCAAAGACCTCCATCAGTGGAGATGCCATGCCCTTCACCTGCAATCTGTTCCACCTTAGACTATCAGTTAAGCAAAAGAGGACAAACAAGCCTTAAGATAGCTACTTTTGCTCTTTCAGTGGGGGTATGATGATTCCCAGGCCTGTCTAATGATTTGAATATATTTCAGAGAAGGTAGTCTCTAGATAATTACTTGTTTCTGTCCTGGATTCCTTGGGAAAACATCAAACACTGATGTCTGCTATTGTATAATATTTGAGTTTTGAAAATACTGATTAATACCAGCATAGATACCAATATACTTACTGCAAGTGCCAAATCCTACAAGGTCAGTAACAAAAGGCTTTGATATGATAATTTTAGCTCATTGCAGATTCAAACTGCAATAAGAGGACAGGGAAGACTACAGAAAAACCCCACAGCAAAAGTCAGCAGCTCAGAGTTGCCAAGTTTCACCCAACTGCAGACAAAAATTAGGCAGTCAACAATACATCTTCAGCAGAGGCAGCACCATATGATCTCTGTAGCATCCCTCCATCTCATCTGTCTTCAAAGTGCATTCTCAGTGCAAAAAGTAGGATTGAATTTAGAGGGAGACTCGCTGTCCCCATTGGTTTCATATTAAGACCAGAATTCTTGCTTGAGTTCATATGCTGCAGCTTTGTGTGTGTTAAGTTCACTTCTGCATAGCGGAATGGTGCTGTCCTGGCTCTGCCCCTCAGCATCCATGTCCAACAGTGTCCGCTCCTCTGCAGGAGGACCCACCTGGAAAGGAAGCAGTGCAGGCAGTCCAGGTCTCTCTTCTACAGTGCTACTGCTACTAGCAAAACAAGAGTCCAGATTGCTTGGAGTATCAGTACTTGAACTGTTGGCAGAAGATTCTCCCTTGGCGTTGCTGGGTGACACAAACCACCAGGGATCGAGCCGCTGCCGACTGGCTGCAGGACGTGGCCGGGGCAGGAACTCCAATGTCTTGGGTCTTTCCAGTGTGGGATCCTGCTGTGCATTCCATCGTCTTGGGGTTGGAGGAAAAACAAGGTTGGGGTCTGGCAGGCGAGGGACCTCAGTGGGATCTCTACTTGGACTAGGTGTTTTTAACACACCTATCCAAACCAGACAATGTAAGAGAAGAGGGAAACATGTTAGATGTCACTGTTCCAACAGATCTTGGCTTATTGTATGTACAGTGCAAAAACATACAAACTCCGTATCTTCAAGATGATGCAAACCTGAAGTAACTTGCTTCTTTATCCCTACACTGTTCTCAACACATTGCAAGACACTTGTTTCACTGACCTAGCGCATGCACCAAGTTTTGTTCATCTCCTCATTTGCTTTCTTCAGTTTTCTGACTGGAGACCATGGATTTGACCTCCTACCAGAGGGGAGGGATCTCCAAATCCTTTGGAGGGTACATTACCCACTAACAGCTCGAATGGATCAGGGAGACAGAGCATGATACACAACAGCTGTTTGTCACAAGCAGGACCAACTTCCTGGAAGAGCCACGTAACACTACCTACTGCAGATGCTTCCTGGTTTGTTTTTGTTTAGGAGTGGGGGATGGTGTTTGCTTGATTTTTTTGTTTGTTTGTTTTGCAAACGCAACATAACTTTTACCATTTTAATGAGAATTCTCAACTGCATTAACCCACATTTTACTGCAGATTTCCATTCAAAATACAACCTTGCATTTTGTTTTACCATTGGGAAAAGATCTAATTAAATCAAATTTTAATTTATTATTGTAGTCCTTTTTTTCTTCCTCTGAATTACTAGAGTAAGAACACAAGAAAACATTTTTTAGGTTATGAAGTCACATCCACTTTTAAAGACTGCAACAGTGAGAACACTACCTATTCGTCAAGACCCCTCTTAACTGCAAAGGAATAAGAGCAATAGTGGCACAAGCACCAACTGTTTTAGAGATCCCGTTTTTACTGCCTTAAAGATCAGAATTCACTTTGAACTACAAACAAGTATATAAAGGCATTCAAGATGGAACACCAAGGAACTGTTAAAAATGTGCAGTATTTTGTACTTTGGCACCATTTTTGTCTAAGAAACAATACTGTGCTCTGCCTTACAGCACAGGGGGAGCAAAGAGTTCCTTAGTGCAGAGATGCTGGAAAAGAAACCATTACTGCATTATTCTGTTAACTATTTGTGTAAAGATAGTATCCATAAGCAATACTCGCGGGCTGGTCATCACAATGGACTCTGTATAAGCAATAAGTAATTATACTGTTTGTGTCTTTATTCTGAAGAGGAAAAGGAAGATGGCTGAAAACCTACCTGCTCCCAGTGCTCCAGTTAAACAGCTACTGGAAGGGCATCCACTGGTTGGGCACCCGTTGACAATGAGTCCACTCCCTTTGATGGCCCCATCAGAAGGTGTGCGCCTGTGCCCGCTTTGCTGGGTGTGGGAAGAGACTGTCACATGTGTGGGAGTCAGGGACTGGTTGGGGTCTTGTTTGAACCTCTCGATCTGAACATTGACTAGTGGGTTGGTAATGGCTGGCAAAGGAGCCTTGACTGTCACTGGGCTGACAGGCATTTCATATACCACAATCTCATCACTGTCTGAGCGCAGCAGGGACCGGGTGGAATTACATTCGGAAATGGAAGACAGGGAAAGAAGGGTAAGGGATGTGGATGGCTCGCCTAGCAGTAACATGGGATCTTCTTTCTTGAAGATCTTCCGGGAAGGTGGACTAGTGCTCCTGCGTGGGCGTCCAGCTCGCTGAAAAATGCTGTCACGCTTCTTCTTCTCTTCCTTGGGCACCTCCGGCTCCTCCTCAATCAGCAGCTGACACTTCCCTGCTTCTAACAGATCAAAACCCAGGCCTGCAGCAGCCAGCACTGCTCCACAGCCAAGCAGTGCAACCTCACATCGCTTGTGGTGGGAGCCACTACGTTTGAGGCTGTTGGTGGGTGTCAGCTGTGGGGTACTAGTAGCAGAGTTTACAGGGGTGGACTCCTCATTGGCATCACTAGAAGGGCCATCCCAGTCTTCACTCTTCTGAAATGGGATGCAGAGGTATGACTGATTGTGTACAGGTGAAGGGTGCACTTTGTCCTCTCCATTAAGACATTCGCTGTCCTCATCATCTGGAAAGCAATTAAAAACAGACTTTGCGTTGATGCAACACTTCCGCTAGCAAATTTCACTGTCTTACAAATATACATGGAAACAAGCTTCTCCTCAAAAAATGCAACTGTTCTCATCACAAGCGTCATTCATCAACCGCCAAATAGTCACAGGCTATTGTCTCCAAAGCAGATAGGCTGAGACAAATACCTGGAAGCATTATCAAAGTGGAAGAAATTAATGACGCAATAATCTATTTGGGATTAATTGCAGAAAAGCATTTTAGAAACAACCTGCACCTCAGTTACTTCTAGAGTAAATGTATATGTTTGTGATGAGCAAAAGGTAGGAAAATTATAAGGATCGCTCCTTGCAAGTGAGGGTGTGACCACACTGCACATCTAAGTATCAATATACAGGAAAGGAGCTGAGAGGTAGCATGGAGCTAGAGGAGAATTAACAGAAGCTTATTAACTTGACAGATAACAAGCACAAGCAGAGAGGTGAATAAAAAGGAAATCTAGAAGGAGGAAGTGGACATTTCACAAAGGATAGAAGAAAAATAGGTACCAAAAAATTAAGACATTGCTGTAAGGTATCAGGTGAGGGTCAGAAAAAAAAGAAATTTATTCAAATGTGAATGAAAGCGGGGACGAGAGTATCAAGTTCAGGGAATTCCTTTACCCATCTCTGCTAAGCTGGTGAATCCTGGAAAAGCTGGTGCAGTTCTCTGGATCCTTCCAAGGTTCGGTGCACTGGATGACCACTGTTTGTATCCTTCTACCAGAGCTTTCAGACTGAAATAGTAAAAGGATGTGAGAAAATGTACCATGCTCACAAGCAGTTTCCATTTCCCCCTTCTATATTCTCTATCATTCTATTATAGCATGCATGTATCCATCCTAACTACACAGATTTGAAGCCCTCCCATAAAAAGAAATTGTGACATTTTTACAGCACCTTAAAATAGAAAAAAAAGTCATAAGGTTCCTCCATCGTTTACTACACCACAAAAGTCAAAAGACCTCTGCTGATAGCTAACAGCTATGAATGCAGAATAATAAAAAGCACCACTACAAAAATCAGATTAAACATTTTCTCCTGAAATCAAGGCATCTTGATTTCTTTTGCAATCAATCTTGCATGTAAAAAATAAAGTGCTAAAAAAAATTTAAAAAAATAAAGAGGAGGAGGGGAAAAACACCTCCAAAAACATTTCCATGTTTGCTGCAACTTTGTTCCCTTTAAATCAAAATTTGCAGTCCAGCATGATCTCAGAAAGAAGTTCATTGTATGTTAGCCATACTGCCCTCTCAGCAACACTATCCTGTTTCAAACAGTCTGCAAAATGCAATAGCTGTATTGAGTCTCCCTAAGAAGGATTCTGAATACTACAGAACATCTCAGTTGCAGAGAGAACGAGATAGTCTTATGAGCAACTACAGTTAGCAATCAACTCCCTTCCAGCTGTCTGTGCCCAAAAGCCATCAGTGCTTCAGACTGTACAGTAATGAAAACTGAAGAGCTTTATTCCCAGAATTCAAAGAACATGATTTCAAGACAAAAGTATTTTTTTCCAGCTTCAGTGATCTCCTGCCCTTTCATATAGTTAATGATTGTGAAGTTTCACATTTGTTTTAATTCTGTAGAATGCTATACTTCATCTACAGAACAAGTAAAGCACAGACATCAGTCAAAGAATCTTCCTCCCACATTGCCCTGTCAACATGTATAAGTTTATTTGAGAGAGAACATATTCTAATAGATCCAGGCTCTCTTGCAGAGGACTGCAATAGTAATGCATTATGCAAACATCTGGTTTTCAGGCATTTCACACCTGAGCACACAATAGTTAAAGATTATAACCAGTTATTTTATTTTCCCTGCTAAAAATATGGCAAGAGTAAAACTATCAACTTAGCAGAGGGAAAAAGCTTCAAACTTCATGAAAAAAAATCACAAAGCATTCAAACTTCTCAGAAGATCAAAATACTCCTACGTTTAAAGCAGCATTTCAGCAATGATCTATTGGAGTCCTTCTATAAATATTTCACACACACACACACCAAAAAAAGAGCAGCCACAGAACAATAACCTATAGAAAAAGAAGTACAATCTGTATCTCTACAAAGATCACTTTCAGGATGTATTCACTCCAAGGACATATATTTGTCCTTTTCAAACGACTGAAGATATTTGTCTGTCTCTACCAGAGATTTATCTACCAGATAAATGCTATTATTAAAAATTAAGACAAGAAAAAGCGTATCTGAGAATTGTAAGAGAGAAGTATATTCAGATACAATAAGAAACTACAGGAAGTTGAGCCTGAAAATTGAGAAAACCTACTAGGTAAAGAGTTTTGCTCAGCTAGGAAGTCCTACTGATTAGAAAGACACCTAACAACATAATAGCAAACAGTGAAAGCATCAGTCATCAGCAACAGATTGAATGCAGTTCTGTAATCTGAATCTCTAACATATCTGGTACAGGAATTAAGTTTGGGAGCAGGAAAGTGTTTGCAAGAGGATAGGCAAATTTCCCAAGAGCCAGCTCATAAGTAGTTTTAGAACCTGGAAATCAGTCTGCCTCCAGACCCTCTCTTACCCATCTTCTCCTGCACCTAGCTCCTTGTGACAAAGTGAACTTGGTCCCCACGTGCGTCCCTTTTTCTTCTGGCCTCTCTTCTCTTCTTCCTCTCCTTCCTCCTTTGGAAGGACTGAGCTTCGCCCCCACGTTTTACTGCTTTCAGCAGGAGTCACTTCACAAGTGGGAAGAACAGCGGAAAATGGGAAAGAAAAACAGATAGACAAATTAAAGAATTGCTTCCATGGCAACATGAAGAATAAAATATGGGCCAAAACAGGAATAGTAGCGAAAATTATTTTCCTGTATTTCTGACCATTTATCAACACAGCTCTAACAACCAAATCCCTTCAAAATTAGGTATTCCCTAATCCCTCAAAGTATAGGTAGCCTTTACAGCTTTATTCCATCACTGTTTTCCCTTCAGAACCACCAGTTTGATACCAGAAACATAAGTGTCATGGTATTCAAAACAAACACTATACATTAGCTAACATGACTTCCATAATTCTAAAACATGCATGTCTGTCTAATTCTGTTTTATTATGGCAACACTACTTGCATGACAAGCACCCTTTTTTTTTCTATTTCCTTGCAACAGTAACTTAATCCACTTCAATAATGTTTCACAGATCTACTCTGCAAATTAGTATTTTTAAAAATTAACTCTATACCTCAGGAATGTATTTTCTATACAAACAGCAGTATTTCAAGGACTTGGTTAAGTATGGTTTCGACTCCAAAAGAGGTGATATTCCCCCCCATTACCAATATACCAAAAATACACTCCATTTTTCTCTCTAAATGCATACATATAAGGTACAAGGAAAACATTTGAGTACTTTCTTTTACAGTCCTGTCCTAGATATGGAATCTGGACATCTTACCACGCTGACAGACTGCACATTTCCCAAATTCAATACTACATTGAGCTCCTTACACTGTATGGCCCTGAGTCTGGGAATAATGGTAGGACTTGCAGGAGGGCTGGAGCAGCTACTGATCAAGCTTTTCCTTTTATCCATCGTTGGAGAAGCCTGCACAGTGAATTTATGCTGAAAATCTGTTCAGCAAAAGAAAATAAGCAAAACAAAAGCAGAAAAATAGTTGAAGTTTTTTTTAACATAAGGAAAAAGAAATACTTTATGCTAACTTTCAAAGAGCATAACTTACAGGATCAAGGTAGAAATGAAGTTTTACAGCTAATTGCTATTTGCCCTTTATGCACACTGTTACTCCAGAACAAAAATGTGTGCTCATACTCTTGAAGATATATCTTAGCATATGTGTAACACACATACACACACATTTTGACTGACATTTATGCCAAAGCATAACCCTGTATAATTCCTTTCACCTTATCTCTCAGTTGCTTAAGCACCACCAAAATAGGCATTTACAGACCTAAGGAAAGGCATAGTTAACATACGCATTTTAGCATAATTCCTCTTCTGAACAGCCAGTATCTCCCAGAAAACAAATAATATAGTGCAAGCCATCATCCTTGATGTAATGATGAGTCTTAGGTGATTTACAAAACTCACACTTTTGTTCTTTTACGAATTTGAACCTCCATACAGAATCTGCAGTAGAAATGCTAAGGATTCAGTATTTCTGAAAACCACCATCTTCGCTCTTAAGAGTGACTTCCCTAACACCTCACTAATATTTAGCATTTCTTCCAGAAGGGTGGTATTAGAGGTCACTTGTGTGTTAATACAAGTTTACATATGAAGTAGCAATCTAGAGCTATAGTCTCACAGCTATAAATGTATTTTGGTAATTTTTGGATTCTTACACCAAGAGATCCAATACGTTACAGTTTCTGCTGCAGCATTATGTAAAGTATTCCCAGAAGAAGAATCTCCATCATTTTTTATGCACATCCTTTATTAAACTGGTATTTTGAATATTAGCATGCTAAACTGCAACACCAGCATTTTAACCATTAACCATCTACAGCCACTGATCAACAAACATGTAACATCTCAGATTTACTTCTGGCCTTCATCTTGGAACTTTGAGCAATGCTAGCAACAAAAACATCAAATTTATTTTACTGAACCCATAAGGTATGTTTTTTTCCCAAATTACATCCAATACTTTCTAATGCTTAAGTGTCAGTAGTAAGGAGCTACCAAGCCTGCAGGTTGCTCCCATTTCACCCGGTACAGCACAACATGTCACCAACCTGAAGGTAGGCTGATATGATTGCCATCTTTTAACTTGAGCCGGTTCCTCTTGAACTTTCCCATGCGTTTCTTCACTCGAGGCTTCTCCTGACACAGCTGGTGAATGATGATGTTGAGCTCCCTTTCCAGGATGTCAATCTCGCGTTCTGCCAGCTCCTGTTCCCGCCTTCGCAACAGCTCTTCATGATTCTTCTGTTCAACAGCAGCACGACTCAGCTCTTCTTCCCATGTGCGCAGCTCCTGTAGGGAGATAAGTAGAAATAAAAAGCTACCTTGTGACCTGTGCGTTAAGACTAACCTTGCCTAATCTGAAGGTACAGCAGCAATGACTTGTGATCACAGCATTGCTACCCCCACTGTTTAAAGGCTCAGCTGGAAGCCAAAAACAATCCTCAAGGACTTCTGTGCTTGCCATTCTAGGACCTTCATACCAATACTAAAATTTGGACATCAGCACTTGTGAGGTCACCCCTGAAATCCTACTTCAGGTTCTAGGCTCTCCAGTACAAGACAGACATGGACATATCAGAGTCCAACAAAGGGTCATGAAGATGATTAAGAGACTGGAGCATCTCTTTTATGAGAAAGGGCTGAAAGAGATGGGACTATTAATCCTAACACAAAAAAGCCTTGGGTGGGGCAAAGGGGGATCTTATCAGTGTATATAAAATCCTGAGGAAAGAGCAGAAAAAAATATTAAGCCAGGTCCTCTTCAGCAGTGCCCAGCGACAGGACAAGAGGCAATGGGCACAGACCGAAACACAGGAGACACCTCTGAATGCTTTTTCACTGAGAATGTTACTGAACACTGGGCATAGGTTGCCCAGGGAGGTTGTGGAATCTCCCTACTTAAGGATATTCAAAAGCCATCTGGACATGGTCCTGCAGAAGATGCATAAGGCAAACTTTTCAGTCTCTCTCTTGCTGACAAAATGAATCAAACTGAAACTGTCCTTGAAATCTCAAAAAGACTTCTCCCTGCACTCCTGTCTTCTCCCCACAAGTACATAAGAATTCAGAACTCAGAATAATTCTCTCCAACTAGCTAATTCCAGTGCAGAAGGTAAAAACTGAAGAATTCAAAGTAAACTTCAAAAAGATAATCAGATAGATTTTAGTTTGGATTTTTTTAAGAACAGCATTGTTACCTACCTCACCACCAGGGAGATCTGGTACAGTTTACTCTCTAAATGAACAGCATATGAAATTATTTCCCCATCACTAAAGAGGAACAGAGTACTCAACCTGAGGGCAGTCTATTAACTACTGTTTGGCTTTCTCCTTGTCTGTTGAAGTTTCTAGTTTTCAAAAGCTGTTCCAATACAGTTCCAACACAGGACAACAGCAGCAGAGAAATGCCAATTAGCTATTCTATTTTCCCCAAAAGCTACTATAACAGGTGAATAGAAATGTTTTAAGTATTGTGGTAGGACTTCTGTCCTCTGACCCAAAATCATCTTTTTTCTTCTCTCTGCCTCCTAAATCCAATCTCAGAGCCCTGATCAAGTTGGAGGCTCATTATGAGTTTATTTTTAGGTAAGAGATTGTGAACTTAAAAAAATATTACTTTAGTGATTTTGCTGCAGTTTTTACCATTGACTGTAAAGACAGTCTCTGTCTTTAGATGCAGCAAGCTGTGCTTTCTGAAAGTATGTTTAAAGACAATTTCATTTTTTTCACTTCTCTTTGAGGCTGATGGTCACCACTCCTTTTATTCCTGCCAGCATTTTTGTTTCCTGCTTTCTGCACAGATGGACTTCAATTAGAACAGTTACTACACCATTCCCTTGGTAGCTTTCACATTTATCATTGTCTATGCACTTTGGTTGTCTTCAAAACCTGGAAAACACAAACTTGGCAGAATCAAAGCTGCAGTGTGTACTAGAGTATATATGCTGAAACTACCCCTCCAAAATCTCCTGTTATCACTGGGTTTCTCAATTAAGTGAAACAGTTATCAGATGTTTAAACAATTAACACAACTCATCATAGCAGTTGCACAGTGTATAATGGAAGTTCCCTACAATATTAGAATGAGTAGCAGTTCAGAATAAGGATATTTATTTTTCTCATGATTCTACCCTTGCGTGCATCATAACCTGCCACCGATTCAGGGACTTAATACAGGCTCCAGTAAAGCACAGTCAAAATTATATCTGGGATGCACTAAACAATGATCCCTGTTTGAATTACAAAATGGGGAAATTATAATCCAGACAGCACAAGGCAGGGAGCACTGTTCTCTCCTTACCTTTTCTTTGGCTCTGAGCTGATCAAACATCTCTTGGATCTCTTGTTTCCAGTCTTCCTGCAGGGAGTGGAAGGAATCTTTGGGCATTTCAAAGAAACCAGACTCTTCTATGGCAGTAAGATGGTCTAGGATACTGGCAAAGGAAGGTCGTGAGTGTGGGTCAGGGTTCCAACAATCTAGAACGGGACAAAGACAAGCAACTGTCAAGCATCTCTAAGTATGGAGGCTTGAGAGGATTAGTAGTACTTTACTGATCCCCAGTGGCTAAGAGTGGCATGCACACTATCTGTGTTACCCCACCTTTCCCATTTCCCACTCGCCTTGACCGTTGTCAAGTATGCAATTCATGCTTTCTTGACTATACAATATCCAGCATCACTTAAAAATCTTGAACTACCAAACTACCCAGTCTCTAGATTCTATTGCAATAATATGTCAAATAAAATAGAGGTTTATTAATTCTACAGAAAGTTACATTTTCAAGCATTTTAAAGAAATAACAAATAATTTCCTTAAATATTTTGCTTTAAAATATATGTATGTGTTCACAGAGCGCAAATTTATGCAAGGCTTTTGTAAACAGTTCTTTTATAACAGCTACACCTCAGAGTTAACAGCCATAGTGCAGAAGGGTATCTATCAGGGTTTTTTCTAATGCCAAACTGATACTAAACTGAGTCATTACCGATATCTTCTCAAAACTGAAAACCTCTCCTACAAAGCAAACTGGACATAACTTGAGTAAAATAACGGCATTAAATAGTGCATTTGGAGTTTTCTTATTTGTAAGGATTCCTCTTTATCATTTGAGAGAAAATTGCTTGATCAGACCTTTTGCTTCTAAGAGAAACGACAGATCAACAAGTTTTTTCATTTACAGTCTACAGCAATTACTTAGCAAATTACAGAGCTCTAAAAATGCAGAATTTAAGGTAGTCATCTTACCATATAAGGCAATTCAGTGAGCAACAATACAAAAAGTAACGTTTTTACAGTGATGGGAACTGAACATTGAAAACAGAAACAGAAAACAGTACCAAGTAACTGCTCAAGCTACAAAATCACTAAAATATGTTTTTAAAGAGTGTTTACATCAAAACATTTGATTTAACAACACTTTTGAATAGGAAGTTTGTACTCCTTCAGTCCTCCCTCTTACTGCCCCCTCACCTTTACTCCTGCAGAAAACATCACTTTTTCATTCTATGTTGCCCCATATTGAGACTTACACGGGTTTTTGTTCAGCAAATACCCTTATTCTCTTTAATACTGCTGAATGCCAAATTTCAGAGCAATCACAGAGAAAAACTTAACATTCAAGTGTATTTCTAGGGAACACAGCTTTTCTGCATGAATGGAAGCAACTAACACGTGGGTCTCTCTCAGTGTGTTCATATTATCATTGCTCTACATGATCACTGGATTTAAGACACACATTACTGCAGCATGAAGCAAGAGTTATAAAAACGTTCCAAAAGTTTTTTAGACTTTGAAGTTGGAGAAAAAAGGAAACTTTTTGACAAATATTTGGTGATGTCCTAAAAGACATTCAATCATCAGATTTGTGAACTGAAATACACCAAGGAGCAGCTGTAATTAAAAATAAATATCACTTTGCAAAATCTGTGCAACTGCTGAGGCTTGGTCTTGCAGGTCTTTGATTTTAGCGTCACTGAGATTTTGCATTTGGGAGCTTTGGTTTCAAAACTGTGGGTATCAACAGGTTCCATGAGACATAAGCTGGAATGTGTTTATGTTTATGGCTTTCAAATTGCTTCTCTTATCAAAATAGAGAACCAAGGATGTTAAAGAGTGCTCTGAAGGTCCCCTGCTGCTGGTCAATTAGTAGCACTGGGTGTTACAGCTGGACTGTCAGTGCCATAATCCCTGTCTCTTTACTCCAGGTTTTAAACATGGCAAAGCAAACATGACCCAAACTAAAATAAAATGCTGCAGCCAGCCAAATGCATGAATGAGTGAACAGGATAACTAGCAGGTGGCCCGTGGCTTTTATTTTCCCAGGCCTAGATCTGCCATTATTTGCACTAATGAGGACAGTTGTAACATACAAGTCTTTTCTGTGAAGACCGAAAGTTCAGCTTTGTTGTCGCAGTGAAGACCACCAGGGCAGTAATTCAAAAGTAAAAGCAGCATTAGGGGAATAAGAGTTCACTCGAGATGGGAAACAGCCTGTTCGAAAAACAGTTTTGGTGAAGGGGCAGAAAGTAATTGGTTTTTTTTTGTTCTCGCCTTCTCCCTGTTGGAGAAGCCAAGCGTTCCAAAGCCGAGTGGGTGCTCAGCCCTGTGCTGCTGGGTTCAAGCACTGGCCATATGCCTCTACCTGACTTTCCCAATAGAGGGCATTATTTTTAAACCCAGTTGCAGAACCGTGACAAAAAATAACCACCTGGCAAAACACCGAGCTGGTAGTTCCATTAACCCTTTCAGATGCAATTTCTTGCTTTATGTTGCTTCCAAGCTACTCTACCTGCAACTCTGCTGCTGTTTACTATCCAGTAGGATATTTCTTTTTTAGCAGAAAAGTACGTAAAATTTTCTATTTTAAATTACCTAAAGCTTGTAACCTAAAGAAAAGACCAGAGAAAGGCAGAAGTACTCTAAAAGCAGAGAAATCCATCAGAAACACTTTCTTACAGAGCTTATATTCCTTTCTTGGGCTAAAAACACCACCAGAGGCCACAGAGTATCAGGTCTATGTTGACATTAACTCTTTGCTCACCAAGACTATAAACCAAGTTTGATTTCTCTTTACCTCAATTTTTCTTTCTGACAGATAGGTATCCAAATATTTATTACATATAAACACCTGGAATTCCTGGGGAATAGGGGCACTGACAAAATTACTAAGGGTAATATTGGAAGAGAGAGAGGGAAGGAGAGAGGGAGGGAAGGAGGAACAACTGAGGCTCAGGAAACAAGCAAGTAGCTGCAAGGACCAGCAGAGCAGGACACATAAGTACACCTCAAAAGCTAGCTCACACAATCCTTTCATGTCTATGTAGCCCACCGTGGGCAAGAACTATCTCCACCTACAAAACAGAAAATAACATCTTTTGGACTGAAAATATTGGTTGTTTTGGAATGTTGAAGCCAAATTTCAACCCTCTCCCTGAAATGTCAGTAGGATAAAGTTTCATTTCAAATCACTGCCTAGCAAGATGTTCAAGCTATGAATTTTAAAACAAGTTGAGGACTTCAAACCAGACGAAAATATGTGAAGTTTTTGTGTTGGTGAGCCTTCACTACTAGAAAACAAGCTAGATGATGACAGCAGTAAGTCCCCATTTTCCTATAAAGTCAGTTGATAAAAAAAGGCAGAGAAATTTCTTTCACTACTCTGGTAATAGAGGAACTGTCACAACACATTAACAGCCAAGCCTGGCTCCCATAATAACCTGCACCACTGAATAAAGCCATTTGAGAAATCTGTGCTCTTGGGTATCAAAACCAACACAAAGAGGCAGTGCTCAACAGCACTATAGAAACAGCACAAACCACACTCCCATCACAGCTGGCTTACCTTCCATGAGTTTGGCAAAAGGCTCTGGACACGTGGAAGGGATTGGAAGGGCAAGTTTATTCATGGCAACACCGTATGCTACCGCAAGACCATCAATTCCTCGGAATGGCACTTCTCCTGTCAGCAGTTCCCAAAGCAGCACACCATAACTACCAGGAAGAAACAGAAAAGAGAGTAGGTGTTTGACTTACATTCTTTGTTAAGTAACAAGAAGGTACTTGAACTTTTAAAAGTGAATCTGGTATATTAAAGAAATTGCAGTTTTCTGGACAAGCTCATCACAATTGCCAAGCTGGTGATGTGCCTTATTTTAACGGCCTTTTTTGAATAAGTTGAGATAAGATGCCATTTTCACCTTTTAGACAAAAATAATTTTCTCTCTGGAAATTGGGAACAATTGAAAACCATAAATCTTCTAACTAATTGGCAAGTTTCAAAGCAGCACCTCTCAAAACACTTAAAAATGTGAAGGAGGGTTGTTTGATGGGATGTTATTTTTAAAAATAAGTCAAAAATACTTCTTCAGAATTAAGTTGTTCTTAAGATGTTCTATGAAATATTAACTGTGAACTTATGGAAATGGTTTCAAGACTGTTCTCCCTCCAAGTATATGCTGAATAACATATCCTCAGAATATTTTCTCTATTTCTAGAAAACCCGAACCAGAAACTGCTTCTTCATCCTTAGTGACCTCATAGGTTTTTCACTCATTGGTCTATCTGTCCTACTCTCTTCTGAATCCATTTACCGTCCAACTATGTTCTCTGGTAGTGAACTCCACAAATTTAATGACCATTGCCAAAAAATACTTCCGTGTATTTGTTTTGAGCTTGTCACTTGGTAATTTCATTTGCTTCCCTGTAGTTCTTTCAACACGAAAAAGAGTGAACATATGTTCCCCTATTAGCTCCTTCTATGCCATCCATGATTTCACAGGTTCCCATGCATCCTGCCTAAATCACCTTTCCAGACCCCCAAATCCTAATCTAGCTAAATCCTAATCTAGTCACTATCCCAAACAGAAGCCATTTCATATCTTTCATTGATCTTGACATCTTCTGTGGAATGAGCAACATCACAAAGTTTTAAAGATACAGGGAGAGGCACAAATGGTACTGCTTTTATTTTTAATTAATTTTAATTTGCCACTTGCCTTTCTGACTCTTCACAAAATGAGCTAGATTACCCACAGTAGCTCAAATATCTTTTTACTGACTCATCATAGTAAAATTTAGAGCCTACCATTGTACCTGTGAAATTCTCCCATGGGTACTACTTTGTATTTATTACCACCTTCTTTACCATTCATTATAGTAAAACTTTTCTTCAGCTCTCTGCAGTAATTAGGTTTTCTTAGTCCTGAATAACTTGGTGTCATCAACCATGCTACCTAACCATTTATTGTTGTTTTGTTTTTTTTTTTTTTCAAATCACTTATGATTGTGTTGAACACAGAACTCTCCACCAACATAACTGATTTACTCCTTTAGTAATTAAGAATTGACTACAGTGATGGGAAACAGACTTGCCCTCTTCTTTGTCCATTAATTTACCTTCTTTAAAAGCTTTTGATGAAAGATTTTGTTTAAAGTGATTATAAATCCAAATATAATATAAGCAATCTTACCACTTATCCACACACTCAGTAACTCCTTCAAGCATTTTCACAAGGTATTATATTCTCTTCTATAAAAGCTGACTCTTCCACAGATGTGCTCATATGTTCACCAGCTCCCTGGTCTTTGGTGCTGTTTCTACCATTTAGAAGAACTGGAAATCATACTTGCTAATACTCAGGAAGCTCTTTCAAGACTTGTCACCATGTTTTCTGCCTTCCACTTCTGTGGTACTGCAGCAGCTTTAAGCAACAGATTCCACAGGATAGCTATTAACTCATCTATCTCTCATGTTCTTGTAGAAATCTTGGGTGTTACTGTAAATCTCAGCAATTTGTTACTGCTCATTTTATCAGTCAGTTTTAACACCTCTGTGGACTGTACTTCACTCAGATACATCGTTTAGCTTGGCTCCCTTATAGGGAAATTTTCAGCTTAAAAATCCTCTCTTTGCTCCATTCTAGCAGACACAAGTCACTAAGGTTTTTTTACTGTTATAGCCCTATCTTCTTTGCCTTCTTACATGTTAGTCACCTCTGGGCCATATGCTCTCTTGCAGGGTTCTCACCTGTACTGCATTTGAAAGCAAATGATTTGGTTTTATGCTTGAAGACTCTCCTCAAAGCCCTTTAATCTTCTTAAGTGTTTTATGTTCAACTTGCCAGAGTTTAAGTCCATGCCTAATTTTTCCTCACTGGATACAGATTCAACTTTCAGAAGGAAGTCTTTCAGAAGTCTCTTCTCCACTGTCTTCTTAATTTTTTTTAAAGCCTTTCCTATGCATTCATTTAGAGATTTAACAGGTGTCTTTAAAAGATATTCATGTTGTGTGTTCCCCTTTGGTTGTTTTTACATGAAGTTCCCAATGTTGTCATTAATCTCCTTGAGATTAAACACTGCTTTAATGGACTAATTTTCCTTCATTGCTCTTGGAAAGATATCGAATCTAAGTATACCTAAATTTGGATCATGTCATACTGTACAATCTTGAAGGCTTCATAAGCACACCTGAAGACCAAATGAAAAACCACTTCTCCTCCTACAACCTGCTTAAATAGCTGCTCCATGAAACAGTCATTTCTGAAGCTAAAAGATTAAGCTTTCCTTATTTCAAACCAACAGTTGCCCTATCCACTTGGGAGTACATTATCACAACCTGTATTTTTGCAATCTCACCCCCCCACTCTACCTACCAACTCACTGTAACTCCTCCCACTTTAGCTGGACATCCTTAACAATCTTTTTCCTATTTAGATATAGGATTTTAATCACTAAAGATTTCACCTTTGCTGCTAACACAGCTAGTTAACTTTATTCAGCAAAGTATATTTTTTCACCCATACAATATTTTGCATGTTTTCTAATTCATATCCTTGATATTATAATTTATTACTTCTTACTAACTCAAGAGCCTTATTTATAAAAAACTAAGTAGAGTTAAGGAGTTCCCATTTTCTTTTTTGGCCTTCTAGGATTAATAAACACTCAAAGAAAATGAATACTGGACTGAATGTATATTTGGACTGTCTAAATCTAATTGATCTAATTGATTGTTACTCTTCAGTTTGAATATGACTAGTGGTAGCAAAAGGTGGTAAAAGCTAACAAACATCTGTATTATTACTTTACCACTAGTACTGGATAAAGCACTACTGATGTGCTCAAAGCACTTGTTCCACAGGGTCATTTTTAAAGGAAAAAGGAATAGACAGATTGGTGTTTCTTCCAATGTGACACTGTATGTGCATATTGCAGGAAAGGTCACTTTGCTTCTGACAAAACTGAATGCCACCTCTTCCTCACATACTTAAAAGTACATTGCTGAGAATACTGCTTGCACAGAGCTAGGGGAATACCGCTTTGTGGTACTTGAACAACAGTAATCCCAAGTGATTAAACAGCAAGAGAGGTGCTGAACAGAGTGTTTTCCACTAACTCTCAAGCAGAAAATTGGGAAGTACAAAGGAAAAAGCCAGAGTCAGAAAACTTATACCAAAAAAAAAAAAAAACAAAAAAAAAGCATAGGAAGAAAGAAACAAGGGCCTCTACTCATTCTCAGCAGGGAGAAAGAAAAACTGATCAAGCTCATTTATTTTTCCAGCACCCAGTAGTAATTTTTGGACTTTAATTACAAAATGAACCATGTGATACAGACCATGCATCCAAGTCAACTGACACTTGTGTGAATAATTAACCATCTTTCAGTGATCCGGTAATCCCTTAAGCCATTTAACATCAGGTTCAATCCTACACACTGGATTTTCAGGGTGAGGGAGGCTGGAGGTCTGCAGGATTTCACATGCGATTTTGCCACCTCCCTTGTTAGTCTATGAACTTATAAAAAATCAGTAATTCTTTCTCACTGATACTGTTCCACGCATTTGTACCATAGGTTTCTCTTATCCATCTCCCTAGGTTCAATACTTTCCCTAGGTTTCAACATAAGGAATTATCAGCGCAACAAGGAGACTCCAGTTGCAACAGAAGCTAGAACATCACTTTTGTTAAGAGAAAAACCCCACAAACCTGATTACATTTGAATGGCTATTAGCAGTTAGCATTTTGCGTGTTATTGAACTGGCAGTTCCAGAGCTGACCTTTCCTGCCCATTGCACATCAGTCAATATGCTTCTCCCGGGTGAGCTTCTGCTAACACTGCTAGTCAGCACTTACTTGCCAGGTACTGAAGTCTTGCCAGTGCTTCATTGCACACAGGGAATTACAAAAGCCTACCATCAGTCAGTTGTAGATGGAAGTGCTTGACCAACACTTGATTAAAATAAAATATTCCAATGACTGAAGTTTCTACATACAGCACTAAATACCTCAAACTTCCTGATCTGCTAATCTGATGGTTTCAGCTAGTGCTAAATTCCATTTCCAAATGAAAATTAAATTCCCAATTATTTCACTGGTGTCAGAGTAGATACATCTTATAAGCATCTAACTTGAGGAATGTAGGGAACTCAGATGAAGGTTGTATGATGCCTTTATATTCCCCATACCAATCATACTGACAATATGACTGTCTTTTAAGCAGTACAAGTAAAAAATTGTTCACTGCACATTTAAGCAGTCAAATTACAGGGAAATTTGATTTATATGCCTAATAACATTAGCTTGCTGGATAGTACTGGGTAATCTGCAACATCCAGGCTTCAACTTCAACCCTGCAAATCCAAAGGAAATCTAAACGTATAAATAGATTTACAGGAACTGACTTATTTAAATAAAACTGTGGCTTCTTTGTCCTCTTCCCAATATAAGCACAAGGTTTCTACTGTATATCTAAAGCTTGCAGATACAGCACAGCAAAATTGACAGTAACAAGTTTTCACTAGCAAGTTTTACTAGGTACTGGTTGGTACTATTAACAGGGTTTACAGTGGCCCAGACCCCGGTGATCGATACCAGTGTGGGGGGCCATTCCTCACTCTTTGAAGTTTTTTGCCAACCCTGCTTTACAGTGGGACATAAAAAAAAGTTTGAGCTTTTTAAATGGAACTTGATACATGTTTTGAAAGGACAGAAGTTAGTTATGATGTGATAAGATTGACTCAGGAAATTGCAGTCCTAGCAAGCATCTTCTTCAGATCATCTTCACCTGTTTTTGCAGTGACAACCCAAGCAGAACAAGATTCTTGTTCAATGGCTGGGCAACAATTCAGCCAGCAGTATTATTCTAATGAGCTTTAAAGAAAAGGTGTTGAAATAAAAGGGTTTGTGAATGTTAGAGACAGAGACAGCCAATTCTGTTGATGCTGCACAGATCAACTGTAAGGTTGTCAGGTAAAAAAACTCCTGATGACTCCACTGAGTAACTAAGAGGTTGAACTGGACAAGAGGAGGGGCAAGTCTAATAGGATAAGAGAATTCATCCTGTTAAGAATTTCAGTTGCATCCTTGGGTGGGGACAGAATTTATTACACAAGTCCATGACTGCTTTTGTAAAATCCAGTGCTTACCATCATTGACACACTAGTAGTGACAGCACTGGAAAGTATTTGTCCTCTGCATACACGCCTCAAACATCATGTTCTTTTCAGTTTATTTAACTATGAATAGAGGTTTTAGCCACCCAGGAGAAAAGGGTTATTCAGAGATAGTATATAAGTTCTCCTAATAGTGATGACGCTCTGTTTAAGGGCGAATACTGTAAGGAACTCAACCTGTTTTCAAGGCAAGACTGGTAACTACAACAAGAGAAAGCAATGAAGGAATCTTAAAAGTAGAAATAAAGTATTCTGAAAAATTACCAAATCATTTAAGTTATGTACAATCCTTAAGTCCTGAAGTGATTCACAGTTCATAAGTCAATGACCAAACTGGTACTTTTGCACAGATATAGAGGCACTTGTGCTACCTTCATGAAAATCATCAACCAGTTAATTAAGTCGTACCTTTTTTAAAATGAACTCATACTGGTACAGAACATCTACCGATCTGTTCACAGCATGCCTGGATAAGTAAAGTTACAATTACAGGGAAACGGTTTCCCCTTTGCCTTCTCCCTTTCCCTTAAGGGCCATTCGTGGCACAGTTTCAGGGAAGCGCAAGTTGAGGTTGGAGCTGTGTACAAACCAGTACTATCATCATGTACACAGAAGGGGGCACAGCCTTGAGATTTTCACTTCTCTCACACTTCACCCTGAATAAAAGCCTGGTTCTTGCTCAATTTGTCTTAGATTAACTACAGAGGCAACTACATTTCATTAGAGTCAGAATTTTACCCACAGTATTAGTGCGCAAAATACAAGTTCACAGTCTTATCACAAAGCAGCAGTATCTATTCACCAAATCTGGATATGGAAAATGAAAATCCCCACACCAAATCTCTGCCATAACAGCCAGGCAATTCTGCCAGCTGGGGTATTTTTTTATCCTGACTGATTTCACAGTATGCACGCACTTGTGTGGGAGTGTTACTGGCCAGCTCTGAACCTTACTGCTCTGAAGATGAAGTCATCCTGACATTTCAACACCTCTTTCTCCACAACAAAACCAAAATTCTCACCAATTCATCTGTTTCAGATGTTCAGTACTAATTCTAAGTCATCCAGCATCCAGAGAAGTCACCATCCTAGAGCTATTTAATGAATTCTTTATTTACTAATTCACTTAATAGCAGTATTCAAGCTCAGCTTCTGGAAGTTCATGGGTCGATTCTTACACTCCTTCCCACTAAATTAATTAATTCACAAAACTCCCAGTGCATGAATGGAAAAGACAATATATACATGCAAGTTACTACTTATGGATTATGTACTCAGATAGACCTCAGAAGAGATTTATTATCCTATGAAAGACCGGAAGGGTGGAAATAATTAATAAGAATAATTAAAGAGAAAAACATCACATTTGGATTGAAACTGCATGGGGAATTCAATTAAGTACAGTGTGTTCGTGTATATGTACATCAGTGACAGAACTACTGAAACATGAAATTATCTTACTATTGGTAAAACAGTAAAGTACTTCTCAAATGGTATTGTGGCCTTTGATTATGTCAGTCAATAGCCAAATAAGCACAAAAAGTTTAGTTTAGATAAAGCAGAGGGGATTTGGATTATGAGTACCAAAATTATCTGAATGCAAATTTATAGAACAACAAAAATTTAGAGGCATGCAGTACCTGATCCACCACTTTCTACAGAAACAGAAAGTCTGAGATAAGTCTGACAGATGGTAAGGTGATGGATAAAGTTTCCTTAAGACCTGAATTTTAATATTTGGTTCACCATTACTCATTCTTAAACATAAAAGAGGTTTCCTGGCAGGTCTAGTTACTCTTTATTATCCAATTGCTTAATGCCAAATCAATACCTCCAAACATCGCTGCCTTTGGAGAACATGGAGGAGCGGATGACCTCAGGAGCCATCCAGGCATATGTTCCAGCTGCGCTCATTTTGGTAGTTTTATGCCATTCCCTGGCCAAGCCGAAATCCGTGATCTTCAACATCTTGTTGCTCAGATCTCCATTTTCCACCTTTTCGAGTATCAGTACTGGAGAAAAGGGAAGGGGGGGAATAAAAGGTATGCAGAGTAAAGCTAGTATTTATGCAAAAAAATTCTCATGGAGATCTCCCAAATTTCAAGTTTTTCCCTGGCTTTTAGTTATTCAAACATCATACTCTATTACAAGTTATTTCAAGCTGATCCCTTCATCCGACAACTGAATAGCTGTCTAGCAAATAACTTCAAATTTAACAAAAGTACCAAGACACAGAGAACAAATACATAATAACATAATTATTTAATAAAGTGCCTAGTGTTCTGTATAATAATTCTCTGCTAAGAGGAAGTGAACCACTGTAACTTCTAGAAATCCAGATAAGGGAAGACATTTCCTAATTAATCCTCTCTCAGCAAGTCAGTAATAGCATCTTTTTTCTTGAACTGCTTAGAAGACTTTTTTTTTAAATCCAGATGCACACACAGGCTGGATATGCCCTTCATTTAAATGTGTTAGGAGTGGAAGCTCTATGCATAATTGTTTTTTAAAGTCACATTGAAAAAATATATTTATGATTAGTAATAACATACTCAATTCAAGATTTCATATACACCACTACAGATTCCCTCTCCCATCATTATTAAGGTACTTCCTGGTTAAGCTGCCAAAGTTTCAATCTAGTTTTGGTGGCAAAGGAGTGTAAACCCAAGAACTTCAAAAACACCTTGAGGTAGAACTCCAGAATGCTTTTTAGTCAGAAAGTTGTACTGTCACAGCACTGGGAAATGAGTGTAAACCAGAGGCCAGAAGTATCCACTCTGCTTTAGCAGCATCTCATTATCCTCTTCATCTTAGTGTAAAGTGACCACACAAGTTGTGCCAGCAATGTAACATCAAGCAACAGATTATAAGAGGGCACTAAACTTCCATAACTAATGCAGCCATAAGCCTGTGAAAGAATTTTCAGCTACTTTGTAAAGAATCACAAAGTAAAAAGAAAAATCTGTATTACTATTAGTCCAAAGACCTCACAGCAAAAATCATCAAGCCAGTAATACACCATTGACGCTGCTGCTACTCTCTTTTAATGTCATTACATACACAGGTTCTTAGAAAACATGAGGGTGTTTTTTTTTCCTTTTCTGTGTATGCAGGAATTAAACAAACAAACAAACAAACAAAATAAACAAAAGAAAACTCCCAACAACCCACAACCAAAGAATCATGGATTGTAATAAAACCTACAAAAAGCAAAACTCCTGCAAAAATTACTGAACATATAAAAATCATCTTCAGGACCAGTTTTATCAGTCCATGAAAAGACTCAAGCAAACAGAGCTGCTTTTTTTTTTTTTTGGGGGGGGGGGGGGGGGTAGGGGGGCAGGGAGGGGATATAGGAAGGGGAAGGAAGAGGAATCTTGCATTCGATCTCATACTTCCCCCTACAATAATCCAAGTGGGGATTCCCATGAAATAGAAGCCAAAAGTGTTACTTGAACCCATCTGCATAATAAGTAGCACACATCTATATGTTAAAATACTGCATTTACTTTTACTAAAGGCAAACAAATTGTCTGTTCCTTGAAAATTTAAAAAAATCAGTTACTCTTTCTACATGGCTTCACAAAATACTACTTCAAAGATTGTTGTGGGCCAACTCAAGCTGTGAATAAATTAGACCTGTGGTTAAGCTTCTGGGTCTTGCTTCTTCTGCAAAATTCCTTTCTAACATGACTGAATGCTCCGTTTTTTCTAATTGCAGAAAAAATAGGAGACTGAGGCCTAGAGTTACTATTCTCTTCGTTTGGGCAAAAGCATATGCATTTTTAGAGCACCACGTCAATGTAGAAGAGAACCACCACAAGAAGCCAAGGAACAGAAGGCATCTTCCTTTGAGCCTCTTCTAGTAAGCCTACCATTTTTCCTTCTTTCTAGCAGATGAAGAACTGCTAAGAGAAATTGCCTACCAGTGATTCATTGATTACAAAGTGAAAAGCTCCCAAAGAGAAAAGCTTACTAGAACATACATATTATTTCTTCTTCTAGCACATACTCATTCTGCCTGAAGAGCTGTCAGAATAACAAAATCTAATTTTAAATTTAAATGCAGTAATATGGAGATATACAGTGATGTTGTAAGGGCAAAGCAAAACTCTGAAACAAGAAAGAATGAATTTAGGTTTTGTTGTTTGCGGTGGGGTTTTTTTTTTTGTTTCCTTTCATAAGCACAATGAGGAACAACCAAATTCATTGTTCACAAGGCACATCATATTCTGTCTGAATGAGCTCAATAGCAGGACAGAGCACCATATACTACAGTCTGTACATCCCTTCCTAGTAGGTAGTTATTTAAATCTAATTACCTTGATTTGTACCAAGTTCTAACAAAATAATTAGTACTTACATACATCTTTTGTATCCAAAACTTGTTCTTTTGTCAGATGCAGGATATTAAGAAAGTTACCATGACAAAAGACCACAGACAAGGACAGTGAAAGAGCTGGATTTACTGCAAGCCCTTGATTGCTTAGTTACTAGAAACAGTCTGTCCTATTTCTTTGTAATAACTGCTTGGGATAATAATCTTGTAATCCAAAATTTTATAAATTAATTTTAAGAATGGTATCTCTTTCCAGCATCTATTTCAGTTCTCCTTATCACTATCAAATTATTCAGTATCAATGGGCTCACTTGGAACTGCCAGGAGTTTCCCTAGCCCATCTGTCAGATTTTCAAACCAAAAACATTGACTCTCTCCCCTTGCATTTGCTTCAGTTTCAATGAAGAATTTTTAAATAGGTGAAATATTAATTCCTTTCAGTTTCCTCCTTAAAAATCTCTTTTATGGAGAACACAAGGCAGGTTGCTAGGACACAGCCAATGCACTTTTAACTTATGCTAATCAACATGGTCTCATTTACTTCTATGTTTTATCTATGACCAGTTAAGTGCATCTTGTTTAATACCCTTGAGTGCAAGTCCTCTTATGCAAGTACTACTTCTTCTGCACTCATGGTTGTCTATCACAGAACAAACAAGAAACATGAAACACAAACAAGTAACATACTTCCTACATTTACAAACATACCTTTCCATCTCTGAACAGATTTGATCACTCAGGACTGAGCTACAGTGGCCAGATGATCAACACCTGCCCTAACAAGTTCAGACAAAAATATAGAGCACTTACTCCAAAACACAACTAATTTACCAAGGCAGTAAATCTCCTCATTCTTGTCTGCTGATTTTAGAGATCTGCATGTGATATATAAGTTTAAAATAGGTAGAAAATTTAACAGAAAATCTTTCACACTGCCAGCCTTAAAGAATGAAATTGTTTGGCAACAAAGACACTGGGCCTAGTTTTCAAGGAACTGGGGAAGAATGAGATTCTAATCAGTAGGAACATGCAGAATGTGTGTCAGTTTGTTCGGGGTGGATCAGTCTTTCCATGTTCCAGCAGGGCCCATGCAAGAAATCTCTTCCTGTGTGCATGCACAGAGCCAGCCAAGTTGCAGAGGAAAGCCTGCTACGTACCACTGCTCCTCTTTTTCCTCTGTAGCACAGACTAAAAGCTGATCCTCTTGGTGAGGAGCCAAGCAGCAGTGTGCAAAAAGGACTGGGGAAGCAAATCGGGTATTACAAGCACATTCGACACCTTTGAGCACTCAGCTGCTAAAGCAAAACAACTTCATATAGCAAATTACCAATGCCATGTTTTTTGCAAACTGCAAGAGCGAAGCAAAGGGTGGTGGCTTAAACTAGCGTTAAAAATTGCCAGCAACTTTAGGTGAAGTGTACCATGAACATGTGATCTTACAGGAGCAAAACTCCAGAAGTGCTCACATATGTTTTCACATACTTCTGAAGGACTTGGAACTTGTCCTCTGGAAAATAAGCATTTGACAATGAGAAATTAACTACTGTTCACAGGATTTCTGTCCAGCAAGACAGCTCTTGCACATCTCCAAGTGTCCCAACATGGAAGGACTATGAACAAATTTGCCTTAGTACCTCCTAACAAGACTTTCCCCGGATAAGGAGGTCATCCAGATGCAGATACATACGATTTATGTGTGTAATTTCAACCATTAAGAATGCACCAAGAATTTTATTACCACATGGACTCTTAAGAATCATTACTGGTAATGATTCAACTCCACTATTTTATTTCCTGAGAGCCACGCACACTGCAAGCGCTAAAAGACTACAGTCAATTAAGACAAGTAAGGTCTGAACTTACAGAAAGAAACAGAAGTAGAAATTAAATGTTGGGTCTCCTCTTATCTAGGTTATGAAAACTAGTCTTTTTTCTTTGAAATGAAAATGTCTGTTGCGGTTCTTTGAAATGAAAATGTCCTCTATTCTTCAAGAACATCTTTGATGCCCTATAAGAAGCATTGAGTCTATTTTCCCACCAGACTCTTGTGAAAAAATTTCCTGAAGTACAGAGAAGGAAGTAGGCACCCTACAAGCAAAGGGGTTAGACAACCAAAGGCAATAAGCTAACACATACTAATAAGACAGACTAACCAGCAAAACGGTACAAGGCAGAATTTAAAGATTTGACAAGACTCAGTCTGGTGCAATCCTTAGTCATACTGTCTGACATTACAGCAAGTAAATGAACAATTGTATTGCTAGACACGAGAAAACTTGTTATCATTAAATTTTCAGTACTTTGAGCACAGGTTTCCATCTACGTTATGCTTTGGCTTCTGCTCTGGACAAAATAAATTTGCACTAACAAAGAGGAAAGGCAGCATTGCATGGCCTGCTCTCATCACTCACTTCACAGTCCTTTTCAGTCATCTCTGAGTACCTCAGAGCTATAGGCAGCAGTTTGTAGTCTATTCTCTGAAGATTTAGGATACCCTGTGACTGTAACCTTGGTATTTCATGAACAATTACCATCACGTTCATAGTAGTAACTGCAGCATCCAGGCCTGCAAGACCATCCCAGATACTAAACAGCCTTTCTTAATTATGTCCTTTAATTTGCCTTTGTTGCCATGAATGAACTCAGCAATCAAGATCCATACTACTAGCA